TGGGGACCCTGAAATCCCAGCTCTGTGAGGCCTGTGTGGCCATGGCCAGGCCTTCTGTGAGCTGGGCTTGGCATTCAGGGTCTTTGCAGCCAGCCCCAAATTTGCATAGTGCCATGTAACCCTGGAAATCTGCTGACTGACAACTGATGGCATACCTACTGGCAGCTGGGAGGGGCTGGCCAAGGAACATGACTGTCATCCTAGGCCCCTGCCCACACCCACAGAGCTTGTTTAACAGCTGTTCGTGATCACCTGATATGAAACCCAGATCCAGACTAACCCCCTTCCTGCTCTCCCCTACATCCTTTATAAAATGAAAACCCAACCATGTCACTGCCCTGGGGGCCCCCAGCCCTTGGATCAGCCCCATCACTCACCTCTGATTTGCTCACCCACCAGTGAGCCATAGCCTATGAGGGCTACCCACATTCCAGGCAGTGCTGCAAGGACGTCTATGGCTTCACTGACTCTCTCACAACTTGGTGAGGTAGGTTCTATTATTATCCCTACTTTGCAGATGAGGCAATGAGGCACAGAGAGGGTAAGCCACCAAGCTGAAGTCACAAACAGACTGTCAGAGCTGGAAAACCCCAAAGCCTAGACCCAGAGTCTATGATGCTCTCATCACCTCTGTGCCCTCTGCATTCATCCACCACAGCCTTGGAACCAAATACACCTGTCTCCAGTTGGCCTGGCTGCAGGAACTGGGCCAAGTCACCGGCAGGAAGGAGCAGGGCTGGGGGCTGGTCTAGCCAGCTGGCTGGACTTTCAGCTCCACCAGGCCCTCCTCAGCACCCCAGGCACTTCTGGGGCCTTTCCTGGGCCAGGGGCTGGAGCTCTTTACCAGGGGGGAAAACCAGTCTTCCCAAATGCTGAAATGTGAAGCAATCCCAGAGCAGAGCCCAGGAATCACCCTCTGTTGCCACTGTCTGCACCCCTGCCTGATGTGACCTGACCTCAGCAGCACAGTGAGGGTTGTACTCCTGGCCTCTGTCTTCCCATCTAGTAAATAGGAATAGGACCCTTCCAGGGTTTGGTCTGATGGGGTGTGAAAAAGCTTTGCACCTGTAGACAACTCTACAGCAAGGAGTAGATTCACTTTCGGATGGCAGCAAGGGGTCATTGTAACTCCTGGTTGGGGGGTGCTCCCAGGGCAAAGGTCTGGAAAGAAGGGCTGGGGTGAGAGAAAGCTCCATATGTGACCTGCAGGAGTGACTTTGCTAAGCAGAGATGGGTAGGCAAGGAGCAATCAGCAGAAGACTGAGTAACACAGATGAGGCCCCCCAACCTCAGGTGTATTTAGAAAAGCACTTCAAACAGGCTACCCGAGGTCAGAGAATCCTTCAACACCACTGCTGCCAGAGGGGCTCTACTCACACCTTCACTGAAGCCACTGTCCTGGGCTGCTGGGACAAGCTGGATGCTGGCACCACTGAGCCTCCAGCTGCTGTGGGGAGGGCAACATCTCTCTCCTTGGCATACAAGACTTGGAGGTGATGGGACTTGCTTGGGATACTGGGCTGGTAAGTAACTGGTGGAGCCTGAACACAACTCAGTTCTTTGCACTTAATCCCACAATCACTACACTTATTCTAGGCAGTGCTGGCTTCATGGGTAATTGCACAAGGCCCCAAGCTTAGAAGAACCCACACTGAATGAATGTCCTGCTGCTGCCATCTTGAAATCCTAAATAATTTGTGAATAATAGGCCCCATGTTTTTATTTTGCACTGGGCAGCACAAATTATGTAGCTGGTCCTGATTCTAGGAGAGTCTCATGGGCACTTGGGGAGGGGGAAGGGCCAGTGAATGGACTTTCACTTCTCTGGGACTCACAAGAGCCAGGTCCTCTGCATGGTCTTCTTTTCCCCCTTAATCAATCTAGAAAATTTCTCTTTTTCCAGTGCCTGTTACCTCCTGGAGATCCTTCCCAGATTTCCTCCCAACTCATGGACTGGCCGCCCCACTATATCAGGCAGAACCCACAGCTCCTATGTGGGGGTCCCACACTCAGACAGTGCTAAAGAGCCTGCTAATTAATGGGTGTGCAAGCACTGCCTGCCTTCCCCAGGACTGGGCCCCCAGGAGCTGCCTGCTGGTCAGGTTTCCAAAAGAGATCATGCTAAGGACATTTTACACAAGGGTCTCAGAGTAGAAGTTACTAGATCATGCCCAGACCAAGCATGGGCCCCAGAGAACAATCTACCTTTTTACTTGCAAGAAAATGGACGTGCTTTTCCCTGGGAATATGGGTCAGGCTAAAACACAGGTAATCCCAGGAGCTCCCTTGGGAACCTTCTCCAACTAGGTGGGGCCCTGTCAGGAAGGGGGTTGGGGGGAAATGTCTTGAGTCTGGGGATGGAGCTGCAACTTCCTGGCTATGTGGCTCACTCATTCTGAGCCTCAGTTTCCTCATCTGTAAAGTGGGCATTGAGTGACCCGAAAGGAGCTCATTGGAAAGAAGAGCGCAAACTCTGGCATTTGATGGCCTGGCCTGCAGCCCGGCTTTAATACTTAACCAGCTTGGGCCATGCTTCATTTCCCTCAGGTGGAAATTGTTCAGTGAGGCCTACTTCTCGGGACTCTTGGGGGAGATCAGCGAGCTCATGTAGGTGACGTGCAGTCCCCCAGCAGGGACTCTAGTGTGGTTGGTGTAACAATACTGGCTCCACTGACCCCAACCCTCCAGGAGCCACCAGGGGAAGAGCATATGGGGGCAGGGATGACACAGATGCCACCAGCTGGTCATGCCCATAGCTCAGAGGGTGCTCTGGCCCTAGGAAGCTGGGATGAAGTCCCCAGAAGGTGAGGGGCAGAGATAAGGTCCCATGTACACCCCACAGCAATGCCCCAGCACCACCGCCACCCCCAATAACTGCTTTCCTCTGGTGGGAGTAACATTCCAACCCACTGAAGCCCTGCAAGGTGTCAGAACTTTTCTTGCACCATACATTGGTAGTCTCTAATCCTCATGACCAGCCTGGAGGTGGGGGGCAGATGGTGACTATTACTGCTTCCAGATGAGGAAGCTGGCACCTGGAGAGGGGAAGAGCTCATCCCGGATAGTCCTCTCCCTGCCATGGCTCAGCCTTGGCCCACAGCTGCCCAGCCACTCCAGGAGCTGACGGAAGCATTTGCTAGTGAGAGGCCAACAACCCCTGACAGCTCTTCTCCTTGGAATGCATCCCTCCTTGTGTGTGCATATCAGCATACCTGTGGGGAACATCATGAACACACAGGTTTTGAAGTTTATGAACGTGTGTCTGGGGGCCTGTATGTGCATGCAAGTCTATGTGTGTGCAAATGTGTATGTTTACAGCACACATGAGCATGAGTTATGTCTGTGTATATATGCATGGTGAGAGTATGCTTCTGTAGAGCTCTGCATATATGACCATCATGTATATGTATGCACGTACCTATTTATATCTTTAGCACGCATGGATACGTTTAGAAGTACACATGTCTGTGTGCACAAGTATGCATGTGTACATGTGTTCACAGACACAGGTAATGTGCATTGGCAGAATCCTCTGAGACTACTACTATTTCCAGATGAGAATGTCATACCTATGTGTAACTATAATGCCACCTAAACTGTCTTCTGAAAATCTTGGCCCTCTCAGAGATGTTTTGGACCACAACCTGGCCCACTTCCTCCATGAAGCCTTCCTGGATTCCAGACTCTCCATACTCTCTTAGAACTCCAACATTAACACCACATCATGGCAGCTTTCTTACCCTCATGCCCCCCACCAGCCAAATTTAAGTCCTGCCTCAGTCTCATGATCATCACTCCTTGTCCATGCTCATTGTTCCAGAACTAGCTGAGATCTTTGACCTCTCACTGGGCTCTTGGGACAGTACCACTAGTCTCTCTGCCTCCAGTTGGGGCCCCTCCAATGGCCTCTCCAATGCAGCCACCTTCAATAAGTCACTACTTGACTTAGAACCCTCCATGGTTCCCCACCGCCCTTGAGAGCTAAGTCCCCAGCCTGGCACTTATGGCCTTTTACAATCCTCCCATCCCCTTGCCAACCTCATCCCCCATCCTCCCAGTTTCTTCCATCCATCCTCTGCTCCTGTCCTCTGACATCAGGCCTGGAATACAGTAAGTGCTTAATATAAGCTTGGGAAACTGAACTTGGGAGGCAGAGGAGAGAGAGCCTTATGTAGCCAAAATATCCCTCCTTTAGAAGGGGCCTTGTATGCCACCTCACAAACCCCAGAGGCCCAGCCTGGTTCATATCATATCACATCCACAAATGAGTCACGATCCCAGGCAAGTAGCAGCCATGGTCACCTTGTAAATGCTCCCTCCCTATGCCTTGAGTTGGGACAGGACCCAGCATTTCTGAGGACACCCATGATTGCCCTGAATGATCCCCACCCTCAAGAAAAGGCTAGAAGAGGCAGGTAAGGCCAGGGGCAGGATACTCAGGGGTTAGAGGCTGGTACACTGGAGCCACACAGACCTGAAACTGAACCCCACAGGGGCTCAGCCAGGTGTGTGACCTCAGGCAAGTTACTTCCCAACAATAAGCCTCAGTCTTTTTGCTGATACAATGAGGGTGATAACAGCGCCTGCCTCAGTTAGTAAGATGAAAAGAGTTAAGAACTATATAGTACTCAGCACAGTGCCTGACACACAGCTAAGTGCTCAGAATGTTAGAGAACAGCATCATAATTATTCTCATGAACAGATCAGAGAGCCAAAGCTCTCAGCAGTGAAAGGAAAGGCCTACTCACGGCTACTTGGCAACAGAATAAAACCAAACATTCAAGTCCCAGTGGAAGACACAACCCCCTCCACTCTCTCTGGCTCCCTCCGATAGGAGGAGGCCAAGGAAGAAGTCAAAACTGGAAAATAAACCCCTTTCCCAAACTTCTCCCTGATGACAGCCTAGCTCCCAGCCTCCAGGACCTGAAACAGTACCAGCCACTAGGGCCAGGCCGGGCACAGCAGACACACAGCGCCAGGGGCCGGCCCACCCTGCTTACCTGCTGAGGCCTCTGCCAACAACTGGACTTGAGGCTGACAGTGTCAGGAAAGGGGCTGTGCTGGGAAGGAGGCAACGGTCCCACTGATCCGACTTGGCCAAGTACAGCCACTGCAAATCCTAAAGGAGAGAGGAGAGGGCACAGTGAGCTCCAAGCTGATCCTGGGGGCAGTCCCCGCCCTCTTCACCAACCTCTAGGTCCTGCCTACCCAGAACCCTCCGGTCATCTTCTAAAAGGCAGAGCTGGCCCACCAAAGTGGAGCCATCTCAGAAACTGGATGCTGCCCTCCACCCCCTAATACAAGCCCCTCCCCTGAACTTTGAGGTAGAGGCCCAGCAGCCTGGTTCCCCAACAGCCATGCTAGCACATGCCCCGCTGTGCTGTAGTCAGCCCAGACCCCTAGGCCCCCAGTCCTGGGCACACCTGGTCCTTTGCTTGGTGCCCTTTCTCCAACTTCTGTCTTTCAAAGCCCCATTGGCCTTCAAGACTTTGCTCAAATTCTTCCGTGGAACCCCCTCTGACCTACCCCTCTTTTCTCTGTTCATCCCTCAGGAGGCTTTAGCCTAGCTGACTATGTCTCCTCCAGCTATCTATAGGCAGGTCTCCAAACTGGGTGGAGCTCCTGGACATCAGGAATGAGGTCTAGTTTATCTTTATCCTCTAATGCTAGCAAGGCCACATAGACTGCTCAGTGGATGGATGAATGAATGAATGAATGAGTGACTAAAGAATGGGCAGTGAAGGTGTTCAGTGAATAAGCTGAACAAAACTGGCCAACTGGCCTGAAATGGTCTGCTCTATCAACTCACAAATGAGACACCAGAGGACCTGATGGGAGAAAGGTTTCCTCCCAGGGTTCTACAGCAAAAGAGAGCAAAGGCTGGAATTCGAACCCAAGTGTCCTGGCTTTGCCCCCTGCCTGGAGCTGTCATGGACAGAGGCTGCCATAGCAGTCCCCTCCAGCTCCTGTGTCCTCCTGTGCAGCTTACACAGGCACCCAGCTTTCCTGACTGTGGGGAGCGCAGGTCATCTGGTCTGATGGCCTTGCTTCCCTCGGCCTAGAGGTCTGAGGCTTGAGGGTGGGCAGAGAGGGGACAATACAGTAAGCCCCAGGATCAAAGGGAGGCCTCTCTAAAGTCTCACCAAACCTCATTCCCTTCCAAGAAGCCCTTCTGGGCTTCCCAAACATTACTAGAGGGGCACACACACATGGTCATCACTTTGGGAAAAAAGTTTGGAAGCATCCCCTACCCTATCAGCAACCCAGCTACTCCACTTCCACAGCAATGTGTGCATGTGGTCATAAGAAGACATGTACTAGAATGTTCAGCAGTGCTATTCATAATGACCAAAAAAAAAAAAAAAAAAAAAAGACAGACACAGTAGAAAACATACTTAAGGAGTCCATTTATATAAGGTCAAGAACAGGCAAAATTACTTGTGATAGACTAAATATGGCTACAGATTCTTTGCAGCAAGTCCTATCAAGAGGTGGAGTCTATTCCTCTACCCCCTGAATCTGTGCTGGCCTTGAGACTTGTTTTGACCGGTAGCATTTGCTGCAAGGGACATTTTATGACTTACAGATACTGGGCCTCAAGGGGACCTGCCGTTTCTGGCCTGGCCCTGTTGGAATGCTCCCTGTCTATGGAAGGAAGCTGGTCTCCCTTACTGAAGGATGGAGAACTGAGGCCACCCAGCCAACAGCCCGTAAGAGCTGCCAGATGTGACTGAGGTCATCTTCAACCATCCAGGCACCTGGCCCTTAGACTCACATGAGGCCAAGGTGAACCAACAGAGGCACTGCTCAGGTAGACCACAGAATTATAAGACATAATACATGGTGGCTGTCTGTTTCAAGCTTAGTTTGGGGGTAGTTTGTTGGGCAGCAAAACATCACTGATAGTATGCCATTGGAAGTCAGGATAGTCATTATCCTTGAGGAGAAGCAGTGACTGGAAGGGGACACACAGGGTCTGGAATGTTCTGTTTCTTGATCTGTACAATGATTATGTGAACATGTCCATTTTGTGACAATCTGTCAAGCTATGCTTAGGATATGCTCACTTCTCCGCATGGATGTAATACTTCAATAGAAGCTAAAAACAAACCTTCTGTAGTTCTCCACCCAGGCATACCAGATCCAGCCCAGCCCCTGCCCTGCTGGCCTCACCTCACTCTTCTCTGCACACTCATGGGGCCACCTCACCCCTTGGAACCTGGGATGCCTTCCCCTTCCTATTGTGCTGCAAGCCTAAGGGCAGGGGGCACCTCCTCCTGGAAGTCTGCCCTGACCACCCCAGGCCTTGTTCACATGCCCATATTCACATAGCTCTCTCTCTGGGGCTGGGTCTTCCTGAGTGTGGGGTTAAGTCTTTCCCTTCTGTCTCCCCAGCTTTTGGAGCTCTCCAAGCAGGGTTAATTGGCACCCCTCTTCCTCTTCCCCAGGGTTGAGACCCCCACAGTGTTGCTCTGCTGATCAGAGTAGGATTCCTGGGGGGAAATGGTGATCGTAGGACAGGCTGTAGGCAGCACCTCCTGGAACCTAGTCTTCTTCTACATAGATCAAGGGCAGAGCTGAATCTGGGGCTGCAAAGAGGTTCTACAGAACAGGGGAGGACTTCAGGGTCCCCTGTTTTGCAGTAGATGATATATCTGTGAAATCTGTACCACCCCTTCCCTCTAAATTATCTATTAAAACAAAAGAGCGCCCAGCTGGTAGCCAGCATGGCATCTCTGCTGGAACCATGCAGATTGCCAGGCAGAGCAAAGGAAGAGTGGTGATGCCAGGTGGGCATGGGCTCTGCTGAAGATCCTCCAGTGTGCTGACTTGTCTCTGTCAGTGCCCAGTGAGGAACAGGAAGTCCTCCCCTGGCCCCCATCCCCAGCCCTCAGGTGCCTGGTGGGGTCTCAGCTGACCCTCAGCACCAGGGCCTCAGTTCAGGATACCCCTCTCTGGCCCTGCCCCATCTTTGCAGATCCAGCTCAGTCCTCGATAGATGTGTGACCCTGGGGGAGAGCCCCCTGGCTTCAGTTCCCCACTGTCACAGAGATGTGGCTTGGTCAGCCATCTCTGATGAGCTACATTTTTCTCTCCTGTGGGAGGACTGGCTCCTGACAAGCCAAGGTGGTCCTAAGGCCCAGGTCTCTTTCTGCCTGTGCTGGCAATGGTGCCTGCCAGCTGTAGGCTGATGTGCCTGCTGCAGGCCACCATGGGCAGGCCATGGCACCATGTCACTCATCTGACCCTGGGAAGGGGTGCCCAGGCTTGGAGGGCACAGACCCTCCCGGCCCCCATACCTGGGCTATCCCTGGGGCCTTCTCCCTGGGGCCTAGAGCCCTTTGCTAAGAAAGGAAGATCCTTGCCCAACAGAGAGGCACAGATAAGCCAGAGGGTGGCCAGGATGGGAGAGGGCAGCAGAGGCAGTAAATCCTGTAACAAAGATAACTCCATGCATATGAGGGCAGCTGGGTAGGTCCAGCCTAAGAGCAGAAGGAGCTCTGGGCTGGAGCACACCTGGCACAGGTGGTGCGCTGTCTCACCAAGTGGTGGAAATCCCATCCCTGAGGCGTGCAAGCAGAGGGGCGGCCATGTTAGGGGGCGGGTGCTCTAAGCCTCATAACTGGAGCTGTACTATGTACTCCCAAAACTCCTCTGATGACAAGAGTCACCTGCGCTGCTTGTTAACCCACAGCTTCCCAGGCCTCTCCCTGGAGAATGGAAGTCTGTGGGTCTGGAATGCAGCCCAGGAATTTAAATTTTTAACAAGTTCTCCCAGGTGATCCTTTGTATCTGCAAAGTTTGGGGGAGCACTGGCAGATGACCTTCCAGGTCCCTTAGAGCCCCAAGATGAGTGATTCTGAGCCCGGCTCCACACCACCCCTACCCCATCTGGAAGACACGGCTGGCAGGCAGCAGGCTAACTGCATCATTAAAATAAAAATGATTTAAAGGCTTTAGAAGGGGGCAAATACGTCAGGGGGAGGCTAGCTCTCAGCCCACGGTGGCACCAGCAGCAGCTCCTTCCTAGCCCCCTGCGCCTCCCCAGGGTCATCCAGAAAAGCTCAGCATTTGGGGCGGGGGTGCGGGGTAGGGGGTTGAGCTGACAGCTGTTCAGCTGCTGCTCAGTGAGACCCGGAAAAGCAATTATCTTGCTCTTAGCAAAGAGGCACTGGCTTTTACCCGCCCCTCTCCCTCCTCCCTCCCTCCCTCCCACCTTCATACACACACACGCGAGCACGCGGGCCAAGATACTGCTTGTTGGGCTCTGAGGCCGCCTCCCCCCACCCCTAGCCTCCAGATTCCTCTGACTTGCTCAACTCCATCCTCAGAGCACATTACCAACACTTAAATCATTTAGCCCTCTAAACCGGAGACGGCAAAATGGGTGCTATTTCTTAAAAACATACAGAGAGCGTATTAAATTATTGATAGCCATTAAACAGGGGGAAAAAATTAAACAGCTCTCAGCTCTTATCAATCATTCATGCAGTTTCCACCGGGGTGCTTTCTGGAGAGTGATCACACGGGCAACCCGGGGAGCCGGCTCCCACTGGCAACGAAGGCTCTGGCCGCTTGGAAAAGAAGAGGCCTCACAGCCCCCAGCAATTACAGGGGCGGGGCCTTGAAGGGGGTCTGGAGCAGGGAGGTCGGCCTCTCTGCTAGTGAACTCCCTCCTCCCCTCTTCATGGCATCATTAACAAAGGGACCCTACAACGCAGCCTTCAGAAACCCCCTTAAGCAGATCCAGGTACCTTTTATTGAGCGTCTACTATATGTTGGGATACACAGAAAAATAAGCCTCAACGCACTCACACAAGCAAATATGGGAGCCCTTTGCAGGAAACCGTGACCACATTTCATTGTGACAGGAGCCATAATGGAGGTTAGTAGAGGGTGGTTCAGAGGAAAGGGGGACAGCTCTGGCTGGAGGATGGACTGCCAGGAAAGGCTTCTCCAAAGAAGCAATTCTTGGGTAAATTCTTGCCCAGAGGACAAATCCAGGAAGGGCATTCTAGGGGGCAGTACAGCACAGCAGCCTAATTATGTTTGTATCTGAGCATTCCATCCTGGCAAGAGCCCTGTTACCGGTGTGTGGGTTAGGGGCTTGGGCATGGT